AGGAGGCCACCTTAACGTAGTGCAAGCACTGCTAGCAGCAAAAGCTGACGTCAACGCACCTCCTTTTGACGCTGAAGATCATGGTCAAACAGCTCTCGAAGTTGCGCAAAGCAAAGGCCACACTGAGGTGGTGCAGGCATTGCTAGCAGCAGGCGCCAATGACAATGCCCCTAGTAAATAGGATGGCCAACCGAGCAAGATGACGCAGCCATGATATTGCGGACACTGGAATAGTCTGGCAAGGGATGATTTGTTGTATTGATAGTGACTTGTTCGTACAATGTAACGTCCCTTTACCCTGAGCATAATTCATCGAGACCACCGTAGTCGATTTTCTGAGCGTGTTGTGACCGCTTGATTCGAGACCTCGTGAAATCGTCCGTAACGTACGATGCGTTTAGCTGGAGACTTTATACATTGAATAATATCGTGAATGAGCATAATCCCATCAAATTAGCTATTCAAATATGAACAAGCTAGTTGCCGGAAGCGAGGTGTCGGAAATTGAGCATGGGGTTGAATTGAAAGACAGAGAGCTTGTTATTAACTATTCTGGTATCCATATAAAACTGCATGTACTACTCCACCTTGCGAGGAGTACCTATGCAGTGTGATAGGAAAGAATATATACTAACGAGATTAACTCCTACATCCCTAGCCCCTCACCTACCAGACAAATATATGTTAAAATGAAAGAGATCAGTACTCTCCCAAGCCCATCTTTTCCGCAAGTGACACCAAGCAAGTCAAGCCTTCCAAAGTTAATAGGGGCGCTCAGTAATTGGAAGGGTGGAAATAGACAATGCGGGCCGTGGTCGTAGGCGCATATTTATACCTCCAGGTCTACTATAGGGCTGAACTACACAAATCCATCAACCACAGGGCGAGTCTTACAATATCAAACGTTATTTTTTTTTCGTTTTGGTATTATCTTAAATGCAACTTCATGTCGTCCGGGTACACACAAGAACCCATAAAGATCTTAAGAATCAAACGACAATGACATGAATACATCTGTCCCATTTCCATTCCAACCCCCGAGATCCACCTTGATCCTCCCTATCTCATCACCACTTGTGCTTCTCCTTGATCCCAGCTGGCGGAGCCCAGGGCACTAATTGTTTTTCCAAGGAAGCGGACGACTCCTTAATCGTACCTGTACCAGCGTTGCTGCGATCATTCGACGTGTTCGTGCGCCGTTCAATACTGGCAGGACCTCTGTTCCAGAATCCCACAGCATCGATCTTCTGCACGACTATTTTGGCAAGTTGGAACATTGCTCCAATTCCCGAATAACCGACCTCAGCTCCAAGGGTACTCAGTTCCTGGTTTGCAGTAGAGGGAACGACATTCATGACATCTGCACCGAGGAGATCTGTCGCACACCAGGACTCATTGCAATCACCAGGCTCAAGGAAGGAATTTGATTTCAGGATGCCGTCCACTTTGCTGCTGCCAATCGAGGCTTGCCACCACTGCTTTCCGTCTTTGACCATTTTCCCAAGCGGGGCGTTCTGATAAACCAGAATACCCGGATCCAGGATGGAGGGGATGGCGAAGAGTTCTTGGGTTTCGCTGATTTGGAGAAACAAGTCCTTGCTCCTTTCTGAGCGGTAGGGGTGACGGCTCCACCGTTCCATGAACACCTTCTCGATTTTGATCTTCGATGCCGGGGGAAGACGGACCAACATACGAAGGTGCTTGTTGTTTGGCTCTATCCGGATACTTTTCGCCATCGTTCGTGCAGCTTCGTCAAGATCCCGGTCAGCACCCGTAATGTATTCGATAAAGCCTTGTACCCTAGCAGCTGCATCCCAGACTTGTGAAGGGAAATTCAAGTGCACCGTGCCTAGGGAAACCTCAGGATAGCGAATCATAGCATGTCCATATTCATTAACGGAGATAACAATGGTTCTGTTCGGGCCAACGCGGCACCAGAACTCATACTTTACGCCACGGTGGCTGTACTTTTGGTCGAACAGGCGAGATTGGTTGGCCTCCAAATCGATGAGGTAGTCAATGTCTGCAGGAGATGAAGTCAAGCGTTCGAAGAGTGAGATTGGAGGTGGTGTCAAGTTATTCTTAGAGAAAAACAGCTGGTGGACCTCCCTGTAGCTCATCTCCTTCTCTTTGGTTGAAGCTGGTAGGCTGGGCATGAACATAAGACCGAATTGTATTTGAAAGCTCAACGTTCCAGGAAAGCTGCGAACTGAATCAAGAATTGGTTGAAGGAAGCGAAACAAATTCTCTGTTGACTCATGGATTTGCCTTTTTTCTCTTGATGATTTCACAACCGCTTTCGTGGGCAAATCAATGACTTTTCGTGGCTGTGCTTCTGTTGGTTTAAATCCTGTTCTTCGCTGCCAGAAATTCACGATGGGGGTTTCAACCTTTTCCTTGTTCTCTGCATTGCTTTCACTGGTTCCTTTTCGCTGCCAGGTATTAGCACCGTGGACTTCAATCTTTGCCCTTCTCACGACCTTGGTTACCTCGTCCACCCATTGAAAGGCCTTATCGGGAGGCCGCTGATGGAACATTGTCTCGCGGAATTCTCTTGTCTCAGTTTCATCTGAAACAGCCAGATTTTCGTCAACTTTTGTTTCCGCATCTTGCTCCTCGTTTTTGGAGTCTGATTGTTGCGCGGACGCACACCTCGAGCGAGGAGAAAGCATCTGAGGTGAGATATCAATGAGATCTGGATGAAGAAAGGGAACTTTCTCACTCATCTGGTCAGGGTGTTGACGTTGCTGAATACTATCACGCAGAGCATTGTCGCGCGAGATACAAAGCAGACCTCGAGGCGCAGGCTCAGCAAGTGTAGCATCGAGAGGTAACGCAATCTCCTCAATGCTAGGAATCTCTGGGGCAGGATTCTCCTTGATCTGCTTGAGCAGATACTCTAGTGCCACCTCATCAGCCTTGCTGCGGAATTCAGGGGTCTGTTTAGGTTTCTGTTCATCTTCCAACACGTCGCTCTCATTATGAGAGTCAGCAACCTCTGACTCGGGCAACAGCGCACCTGGAGCGAGCCCTGGTTGGGCATTTTCCCTAGTAGCAGAGGTTGGAGTCGGCGCACGGAGGGTCATCGGGTCTTGGGTTGGCTCATGACAAGGAGAGATGCTCCGACTTAACTGAGGTTGAATAGTCGTACCATCGATATTGGGCATATCAAAGATATCAACAGTTGGAGTAGAAATGGCAACCTCAACATGCTGCGATTGACTATGCACATCTGTAAACTGTTCTGGAACGCTTGATGGGAGTGTGCCTAACGGATCGAACGCAACAATGTGTTGGAAACCGCTATTGAGACTCTTCACTTCGCAATCGAGATCAATGAGGGGGCCGAGGTCTTCTGTGTCTTCTTTACTGAGATTCAGCCGAGTAGATGGGGTGCTTGGGGGGCTTTGATCTGATATCTTTGGCTTGCTGGTCACTTCATCCATTCGAGTTTCCCTCGTGGTCTTGGCCGTCTCAATAATTAGCTTGATCTCCCCCATTACTGAATCAACGCTCCGCCCCTGAGGTTTTGTATTCACCTGTGAATCTGCCTCAAGTATGTTGAGAGGCTGGGCCCAGTTTACTCTTGGAGAAATAGAGCGAATTGGTCGATGGAGAGCGTTAGTTGTTTTCTCTTCTTTGGGAGTGGGAGGAATAGCCAAATCGGCTGCATGTGACGTTTCTCTCAACTTTTTGGGTGGTGCACCTGGATGAGTGGATAGAACTGGGAGACGAGGGGTGGCAATTGACTTGGGTGCCTGATTTGGGGTAGAATAGGTAGAAGCCACAGGACCAGTTTCCCCAGACATCGTTGCTGACTGCTTGGAAGCTGCATTTGGACCAGTAGAGTCAGCAGCGCTACGAACAATACTAACGGGTCCTGTTTGTTGAGGGATTGAGACAGACGACTCGGCTGCCTGTTGGTTCCTGATTCTCTCCCTATAGCTGAGTCTGCTAAACACGGAGGGTTTTTGGCCCCGAGCGGTGTCTGTTGGCTTTTCTTGTCGAGACTGGCTAGAGGTTGCTATCGTTCCATCTGGTAGCATAACCGCGCGTCCTTTGACGCCTGCGGGATTGGGCTTGAATCCAGACTGTTTCTGGTCCCGTGGTGCGGAAACGCTAGACTCAGGCGGAGGCTTCGACGCAACAAGCTCAGGAGAGGTGGGGTTATCTTCCGATGGTGCTTTTTTATGGCTGTCGGTTGCCAAAGGCCGTTTAGCAACACCCCGAGAGATCCATTTGTCGACATCCTTTACCTTTCCAGTAGAGAGATAGGGGTGCTGAGTATCGCTCTTCTCTTGAGAGGTGTCACTTTTAGGCGGGAGATGCCGATTAATTTCCCCTAGGAGGGGATCGTTTTTCGGACCGATTTCTGGAAAATGGTAGTCTTCCCAGTCACGAGTAATGCCTGCTTCCTTCAGGGCCACTTGCGGTGGCTGTCGAAGCTTGCGAAGTGGACGAAATTCGTTAGCGAGCTCGTCGAATCCACAGACCACCAAAGTCATTAACCTTGGGAGACGAAGCGAGGCATTTCGGTCGATCAAAATACGCCACAAGGCAGTGGCACTGATCTGTGAATATGTCATGATGCGATAGGTAGCACTGTCCCGTTTGGGATTTAAGATGATCAGCCCTCTGTTTTGGTTCTCGATGAGATCCTAGAGAATATTAACATACAGGACTTATAAAAAAGAGACTCAGGACCATACCAAGCATTCTTCAAGAGAATCGAGTACATCCATTGCCTCCTCGATGTTGTCCATGTGCTGTGCAGAAATACGGAGCCCTCGAGCTCCCTGGACTGTAATTTGTGTTTCCGTCATTTCGGAAATGCGAGATAGAAGAGGGTCCGAGTCATGAGTGATGGGCCCCAATCCCGCCTGCGAGAAATACCAGAACTTGACAATGGGTTCATCGCTAGTGGGTTGTGTCGGCATAATTTCCTCCACAAGGGTTTCCACCTCCAATTTCGCATCGCTTCCATAGCCAGCAAGGGGATTGGGATCGAAATAGGTCGAGATTGGAAGCTGACGAACTCTCGGCATCTTGAGTAGAGCAGACATTAGTACAATATAACTTGGATATTGAGGAGGCATCTAGACATACCTCAAGTAAATCATCATTGCGATGCTCTTCGACATAAGTTGCAAGCAGCGATGTGATTTCGATATCAAATTCCTCATCAAACTGACCAGTTACAACCAAGACCTGGGTAGGATTAGCATAGCCACTATTGAAGATAATACACAAAAGCTCACATGTTTATCACGTAGATATTCGATGTTGATCGAAGCACCGGGATTCAATATCCTATAAAAGAGTCAGGTTTGATCATGATAAATATACATAATTAATATGTCGTACTTGAGCTTGTCTTGAAGTTCTAGAATCTATATCGAGCCTGGTCAGTCCTGGCCAGGTAGAATGATAAGCACGCGGATGTTACGATATAGACTTACCCCTTGGTCCTCCAGTGACCACATAGAACACAAATGAAGCGTCCGGCTATTGGCCATCTTGTATGCTGCTTTTTGAGCGCTATGGGTGGAGAGATGTGCCGATGCAGACTTGAACGGATTGCAGATTGAAGCGGGACAGACGCGAATCGATTGTAGACCGACGTTAGTCGGACGGATGCGAATGATTTAGAGACGGGATGATTTTGCTTTCAATCGATTTGACGACGTTGGCTGGTTTGAAACATGTATGAAAGAAGGAATCCAGCAAGAGTAGGTTGATTGGCCGCGGGAAAGAGACAATCGATTAAGTAAGAGGTAGGTGAAGGCAAATCGATTACAGCTGGACTAGGTGAACAGCGCCTAGACAATCGATTTGATGAAGCACACCGTGGTTAACGGTACATATGAGATGAAGATGAAGGATGAAGAGTTAGAGGAATGGAGAGCAAGAAAGAGGAACTCGAGGTAGCATAAAAGAGTCAAATGAGATATGATCCCTATTATGGCAGTAGTAACGTTCAACCATTTGCTAATGGAAGGAACCACCGAGGCGCCTTGGGTCTATCGACTTGGAAGTCAATGGAAACTGACGGAGGATGCGCGCGCGGTGCTATCTTATCCAAGACGACGAGACTGGATTACAGCAATTCATGGAAGATGGGGAGTACATATAGAACAGATCAAGCAAAATTGGAGAGAGTATAAATTTCAGAGTTGCATAATAACCACCCATAACACCTAGGCAGAAAGGAAACATGTAGCCACTCTTTAATGGTCTTTTGAACACGATCATGTTCATCACGGTGTAATCATATCCAGGTAAAAATATGCAGGTCGTCAAGCGTCATATCTAACAGGGGGGTAATAGTACAACAGGGAAAGAAGGTAAAAATGCAGGTGAAAGGAAGAATAGAAACAAGAATACAAAAACCGAAGGGTACACGACGGAATTGAGCTCTGCCACGGGTATCTGCTGCAAAGGGAAATGAAACGCCATGCACCGGCCAAGAATGGTCTATGGAGAAATGAAGAGGAGTGATTGGTAGGGCGTCGGTTGTGGAGACATGGGAGCGAGCGAAAAGATGAAATCGGGATGGAAAAATGTAGTTGGAGCGCGGTTTGGCGTCGATTTGGCGGTATGTTTTGAGGGATCTGAGCAGAGAGCAGAGGGAAGAGAAGGAGGATGGTGATAGACAATATGCATGGTGAAGGTTGGAGGTTGACACAAACAAAAGCCGACGATGAAAAAAGACAAAGCTCAAATTAATCAGTGCTTTGTCGACTCTCATTGAGCCGGATCGCCCACTTCATTTCTGTCTCGGTCTCCTTGACCTGAGCAAGAACCCCTGCGATCATATCGTTATTGGATTTGGCCGATTCAATCGTTTCGCGGAAGTCGTTATCCTTCATTTCCTTGTACGCGGAGTGCTGGGAAAGCAGCTTCTCATACGTTTCCTTGAGGGAGTCGAATTCCCTATTCTTCTGATCTGCAAGAACCTCCAGCCGCTCAGTGGAGTGTATATGTGTTTTCTGCGCATTGGCGATAGTCGTGAACTCGGCCCAGATGGCATTGAGACGTTTTGCAAACTCCGCCTTTTCGCGTTTCGTCGCGCTGGCCAGCACCTCGCACTGTGTCTCGTGATGCTTGGCGATCTCTAGTGACCGGGCTTGTTCGCGATTGTGGTTCTCGCGCTCCTCGCGCATCGTGTGGTTGGTCTGATTTGCGTTCATTTCCGCGTCTTGTCGCTTGCTGCGCTCGTGTTGGAGCTCAGTTCTGAGATCCTCCAGCTTCCGGTCTTTCCGTGCAATTGAGTTGAGGTTGGTTTCGTTGACTTGCTCAAGGTTCCGTAGACGCTCGTTCATGTTTTGTTGCTGGATCTTGTAGGCCTCGTTGGTTCTTTGATACTCCTCCGCGCGAGACTTGTAGAGTGTGCATTCGCGCGTTAAACGTGCTATTTCCTCCTGGAGATTGTGGATAACGCGTCCTGATTTCCCTGTCGCTGCATGGCCGACTGCTGACCATTCTGATGTGGGGGGATCGCTAATATTCGTGTCGGCGGGGGGCGCGGAAGGGTTCGGATGGCTGGAAGGAGACGAGGAGGCCTGGTTGTAGTTGCCTGGAGTGCGGGGAGTGTAAGCTTGGGAGGTAGAGGGAGTGGGATCGGAATCACCAACCATTCTGGCCTTCGGGGGCTGGTTCGTCGAGGAATCCGTTATGCTGGTGCATATTCAATTGCGTGTCCACATGTGGGAGATTGACTTGTGGCGCTTCTGCACGGATAGGGGGGTCAGCAGCAATCGGTATAAGATTTTTGCTAGGGCTGAGATGCTTCATGACCCGTTTGAAGCCCCCCATGGTGACCGCCCGCGCCTGTCATGAGGAACCAGATGGGAAGAACAAGATGGGAGCAAAAACTAATGGGCCTGTGAAGGGAAAGGCTCATACCAGTATTCGAAGTCAATTGAGCTAGATATGAGGTCGTTGTCTTAGGATTTCGCTTATTCATCTAGACATCGCAAGGGAGGCCTGTGATCAATAAAGGCGCTGTCTCATGCAATTAACAAAGATCAACAAAGATCACCAGAGATCATTAGAACCAAATGATACAAGCTGTAGAATATTCCAAAACAATGGAGTAGCGGTAAGAAATGTTGAAGTTGCAGAAGATCAGTCGATCATGGTTCTTTGTGTTCTGCGCGTCAGGGAACGCCACGGCGCTAGCGGAGAACGACAGGTCTTGTTTTCTTTTCTTTTTCTTTCAAAGTCGTGTTTTGGTCCTTTTTTTTCTTTGCAAATGTCCGATTCATTGAATATGCTAAATATAAGTTGATTACTTCCTCAACGCCTCAGGCCACCTATATATCAATGATATCCAGGGGTATTTTATGTACAGGAAGTTATACCATTTTTCCATGACTCCACCAAAACACAGTCCAGATATGAAACTGACAACGCCAAAACAGATAAATTAACTAGACAAGGTAGGCCAAAAGACCGGCAATACCCATTACCAATTGTACAGAGTATTGCGGAATGGACGCAGCGCCGGTCTGCATGCTTCCAGTGGAAGATGCTTCCCTGCCATTGACAACCTCGGTGCCGGTAGCTTTCAAGCTATCGGTTGAGCTAGCAGCAGCAGAGCTAGAAGGGCTGCCAGAGGGATTGGCAGCAGAGCTAATGAGGGCCTTACTAGCAGTGCTAGTCCCTGTGGTCTGGGTTGCTTGGGTTGCCTCGGTAGTACCGCCTGTGGTCTGAGTGTGAGGGGTGGAAGTAGTGTCGGTAGTGCCGGTGGTAGCGTCGGTGGTGGTACCGGTAGTAGTACCAGTACTGGTGCCTGTGGTGGTGCCTGTGGCTGCAGCAGTAGTAGCCGCAGTGCCAGTTTCGGAGTTGGTATCCTTAGCCTGGGGGATATCAGCGCCGGGCTTGCCAGCCGACTTCAGCAGAGCGGTGTAGTTGGTCTGGTCTTTCTGTGTGATCTGGAAGGCATATGTGTCGCCACTTTTGACATCGTTGTCAGGAGTCCAGGTGAAGGTGCCGCCCTTGCTAGAGGTAGTAATGGGCTTGACATCCTGCAGGTCACCTGAAGAACCGTGACGGAGAAGAATGGTCACAGGCTAAACCGAGTCAGTTTGGTTATGATTCAACATCAGGGGATATGCGTTTTACCAGATCAGGATCAGCACCAATCCATGTGAGGGTAATCGGCTTGCCAGGTTGAAGGGGATCCTTGGGCCAGGAAGTAAAGGAGAGAGGATCAGCAGCGAGACCAAGAGACACAAGGGAAGCTGTGACAGCGATAACACTGTTGGAGAAATGCATTGTGATGAAAGAGAGTCAAATAGACGGTTGAGTTTCAAAGAAAGTGGTCCACACTAGATCAACTGCTAACACAGAACACGATACAAGTCTCAAGAATAATGGTGGCGCATCGCGATTCTTAACTGACGGCAATAATTGCCTAGATCTCTCCCAGCCCCACAGAAACGAGCTTGGATGTTGGCTGTTGGTATTCCAACGCTGAGACCCAAGGTGTTTTAGGAGAATGTTGCATTCCGATAGCCCCAGTAGTCAAGCATCAATATATTACCTAAGAAAGCGTCGTCTACCTTGGCTGGGGAATGCCTGCTAAGCATTGGAAATTCCCGAGACAAAGTTAATTCACGGCTCTGCTTGGGAGAGCTTCAACAGTCTTCATGGCAAGAGTATGGGAGGTCATGCTGTCATTTAGTATCTTTGATCGTACTGACTGGGCGGCTGCGGCGAAGCTGCGTTTCTCTAATAGTTGCTGAAAGCCCACGAGAGTGATTTGGCCATACAGCGACGGGCTCATAATTCCATGAGAAAACTGAAGTTGACGGCCCAATAACACGACTCTCCGGGACATGTTGGAATGCCATCCCTTTCCGGGTTGTTTTGGTGGGCGTCGGTCTGTAGGGCTTTGGTGAACACCGAGATCATTTCTTGCGGCCCATGAAGCATTTCTTGGTCCTTGATCTGCCATGGATCTCATACCAAGGGGTGCCATATGGCTTAGTTGTGTGATCTGGAGGTTGGGGTAGCTTGATCGCCATCTATATGGCATGAGGAATACCGAATATTTCCCCAGCCTTCCAACTATGACCTGGTTATATTCACGGAGTTCAAGGCAACAAACTTATGTATATGGTTAGAAAATAATATTACCAATCGGAATAATTATACGGATCAAGTTGAAAGAATGTATACGACAGAGTACCGCGGGATAACAGAACATATATCTCTCGTGTTGATCCATACAGGTTAGGTAGGGGTTAGCCTGGTTGTAGTGCCACTTTAGATTCACCTTTTCTTATAGAGCAATAATGAGCTCCAAGGCATGTCAAGTACGTTGTAAATTTCTTTGATTTCCCAGTCAAGGTTGGTTATCTTGTGACCATTGCTGCGATGCCCATATCCAATGTTTACTTTCTGCATTGGGACTTCTAGGGTTAGACTTACAGCAAGGGATATGTTGGCAGATAATCATTTCTCTTCCAGGCAGGCAAGTACAACTATACCCCACAATATCTAAACTCTTGAAACTTCATTGTCAAACAAATTGAATTGGTATACGCTGATATATGAACCCTTAGAACTCCCACAAATCCCGCATGAAACACCCTGGGCCAGAGTCCACGCCACCATCTTCCGCTAGCAGACGATCCGTGAAGATACGCTTGGGAATCTGGTACTCGACGACAGGAATTTTCTTGAGATTTCTCTCTTCCTCTCCGAGATCTGCAGTCACCATGCCCGCATATGTGTGATCAAGGAAATCTTCCAGACTGTATGATTGCTTTGTGAACTGCTCTGAGATGATCCGTGCAATGGCCGCAACATTGGGGTGGAAGTGAGATTGGAGAGTCTCGATCTCCCAAAGACTGCTCTCAATGGCGTTTGTCATGTTGGGGTCAGTCTCGTTTGGATCGAACGGATCGTCCATGCCTTCTTTCTCGACTTGCGCGAGTTCATCCTTATCCCGAATGGATCGGTGCATCATGAATGTAGTTGTAGGGTGATTCTTGAAAAAGTTGTACATGAACGGAACGAGCACCACAATGGCGGAGGGAGGCGCGTTGAGTGCAAGACGAGCAAGACGCTTGATGAAGCTGGCCACCAATGTGGACGGAAGATGGGTTGAGGACAAGAAAGTGTTCAGCAGTCGGAAGAATCGTGATCTGTGCTTTGAGTGCAGCAGCTCGGAATCCAGGAGAGAATACAGCTTGGCGTAGAATTGAGGGTAGTCCAGGTTCTTTTCCTGGATCAGGTAGAAGAGACCAGACAGTGCGAGGAGGGATGTCGCACCACCGACATTGTATGAGTCCGTCAAGAAGTCCATCAGCAGTTCCGGTCGGTTGAACCACGGCTCAATGTGGTGAACCATCATGCGCAGCAGGTTTTTGCGCTGCGATTGCGAGAGGTTGTTTCGTAGAATGGCCAGCCATGCTTCCTGGGCCTGCTTCCTGTGGGAGTTTGCCGAAACTAAGCGCTTATTCTTGGTGTCTCGTTTCGCGTAGAAGTTTTCGAACTTGTGCTCCGCTCCAGGTACCTCATCGCAGGTCTGAAGGATCTTAATCAGGGTTTCGAGGACTTCGGGGGATCGTTTCGTAGAGGCATAATCACTGATACAGGTTAGCCGCGATGCTCGACAGCAGGGGAAAGATATACATACGCCATCTGCGTGAAAGTGTAGTATCTCACATCCTCATACTCCTTCACGAACTTGGTAATGGCTTCGGTCTGCAGATCCTGGGCGTTATTGGCCTCAATGATGGCAGCAAAGATATCCTTGAAGAAACCCGTCGACCAAACATTGTTCTCGGCACCTGGGATATGGGCGAGACGTTCCTTGACAATGCGCATGCTCAGCGTCAGAGCAGCAATCTAGATATCGTCAGCAATAGTAACCCCCGCCAGATCAGAGCACACATACCTGAGAGGAAACATCTGCCTCACGCATGATAGCCACAAGAGCATTCTGATAATCAAGGCAACGCTCCTTCAACCATGCCACAACGATTTTCTCGTTCTCGGCAGCGCGGCTTGACTCGGTCAAATTTCCTCCGGCGATCAATCGGCTGAACACACGGCAGAGAGAGACGGCCACAGCCATCTCGGGTTTCTCGGCTGACTTCTCGACATTGAGCATGGAAAGTAGGGTCGCAATGTTGTTGTAGCCCTTCCTTGACTCCGCAATTTGATTCTCTAGTTCTTGAATAGTAGACAGTTTCTCGGCGAAATTGTCCTCGGCGACAGCGCGGCGCTTGGAGGATGGGCCGCTGGCACTCTTGCCGCTCTTGCGCTTCTTAGAGCTCGAATCCGTAACAAGTGCAGGCATTTTGGGCAGGCGTCTTGTAATGTACCGTGAATAGTTTATCTGCAACTTTTTTTTATCGTTTGGACCATCTCGGAAGCTGGTTTATCCGAGGAACGGAATTGTCTCCCGAAACGGCTAGCGTCTTCACCTCCTAGCCATCCCGAACCTCAAGTCTCCTCAATTCCGTTCACCCACCCCATTGACCAAGATTCTTCCATCTGCAACAATGGCTTCGCGTCTTGCTAAGAGCGCCATTGGTACGCTTTTTACGAACCTCGACCGTCTGATCGACCCAATGCCTTCAATTGCTAACTCACCCTAGGCGCATCCCGACTTCGGCCGGCTCTTCCCGCCCGTGGTGTCCCTGCCGTCACTGCCAACCTGACCTCCTCTCGTCAGGCCTCCAACGTTCCCGCCGAGGAGCCCGCCAAGAAGGCGCAGTCAATCCTGAACGCCATCCCCGGCAACTCCCTGGTCACCAAGACCGCTACCCTGTCTGCCGCCGCCGGTCTGTCCATCGCCGCCATCAGCAACGAGCTGTACGTCATGAACGAGGAGACCGTCGCTGCTTTCTGTCTGCTGTCTGTGTTCACCGCTGTTGGCAAGTACGGTGGTCCCGCCTACCGCGAGTGGGCCGAGGGTCAGGTCCAGAAGCACAAGGACATCCTGAACGCTGCCCGTGCCGACCACACCAACGCTGTTCAGCAGCGTATCGACAACGTCTCCCAGATGTCCGGCGTTGTTGAGGTTACCAAGCAGCTCTTCGCTGTTTCCAAGGTAGGAATACTCGGTCGCATAGGTTGATACTTGGGTCGGTTGTTGACAATCCGTTCCAGGAAACCGCCCAGCTCGAGTCCCAGGCCTACGAGCTCCAGCAGCGCACTGCCCTCGCTACCGAGGCTAAGCAGGTCCTCGACTCGTGGGTGCGTTACGAGAACCAGGTCAAGCAGCGCCAGCAGCGTGAGCTTGCCGAGTCCGTCATCGCCAAGATCCAGAAGGAGCTTGAGAGCCCCAAGGTTCTCCAGCAGATTCTCCAGCAGAGCGTTGCTGATGTTGAGCGTGAGTTATTCACCAATTGACTACTATACAATAGAGTGCTAATGATTCCCAGGCATCATGGCGTCCAAGGCCCTGTAAATGGGTTTGATAGCTCACTGCATTCGGCATTGTGTACAAAACTATAAGGGCTATTTGCATCTGCCGAGTTAGACCTTGCAATACCATTTTGATTCTTACTCTATAATCGGACACATGGTTTCAAGACATGTTCTCAAGCGAATTGGGCTTGGAAATGCCCACCGGCTGATGTCTGGTATAAGAATCTGTTTGGACCAGTTTCATCGTAGAACCCTTTGATCGGAATATGATACAAAGGGATCGCCCAATCGCACCCATATTAATGCATGTGCATAGTACCATTCTATAGTCACGTAGTCAAGTAAACACTGGCCATTCCAGGGTCTTATCCCCGGCATAAACACTGAGAGTCCCGACACCCGGGGCGCCCTATGATATGCACGGTCTAATGCAGCACGCCACCCGGGGCCGTGGAGAATGCGATAAGATAGATATCTATACTAAAGTTTCATCTTTAAGCTATCTGGGGAATTCCATGTTGTGTAGGTCCCTGGAATATTCAAGTATTTCAAGTATCTAAAATATTTTGTGTGCACACGGGATACCAGCCGCTGGCCAAGACCCCGGACCCCAGTCATCAGCCCGTGGACAGCCGCCTTACACAGCCGCTGCCTATTCTTTGTTACTTTTAATATCATTCATCCTCAGCCCTACAAGTATTTCTGACAATTCCTTAACACCTACTCCTACATCCAATTATCACACACACCAAAAGACCCAGATCCACTCCCGCCACCATCCGATAAGTAGATCGCAACATGCCATCACTACGCAACATCCTCCACAAACGCGACGACCTCAGCACCACCCAACCACCCCAAAATGCACTAGCAACGCCCACAGCACCCGAGATCAAGCTCATCCGAACAGACACACACACCCAGGAGATAATAATTCCTCCATCTGACCCCAACGACCCATCCCCATACCTATCATCACCAGTTCAAGAAGAGCCCACGTCTCCTCGCCGGAGCTTCCAGCTCTTCAACCGCTCTCCCAGACCCTCCTCTTCATCCTCGCAATCGTCGCCTCATCGCGAGCGCCGTCTTTCAAATCTTCTCCATCTCGACGCCCGCAGTCGCAGTAACTCGCGTGACTCCTCCGCTAATATCCCCGCGGACCTGCCGCAGATCGATGACGATCACGGCGCAAGTAAGCAGGAGCGAGAGGCGTTGTGGGAGAAGAGGGCTACTGTGCTTGTGCAGCAGAATCCGCAGTTTGCGCACTCTGGCTCGTCCCTGCCGCCCCAGCAGGGTGAGGGAGAGGCATCGCTAGGTTTGGGACTAGGGTTGGACCAGGCTAGGTCGAGGAGCTCGAGTCAGAGTCGGGTTGGTATAGACCCGAAGGTAGATGTAAGTGGCTGCTGCCTATATATTTACGTCGTGGTTATGTTGTAGTTGGAATATGGGACTGACTAATTATAGATTAATATTCAAGAAGCTATTCGGCTGCATGAAGCTGGTGGTGAGTTTTATTTTCTATGTCTGCTTGAGATATACGTGGATTAACATTGAAAATAGATCTTGAGCGGTCAACCCAGATGTTCGGACAACTTGCCGATCCAAATGGCGCAAATAATCCCTTGAGTCAGGTTCTTTATGGCCTCGCACTACGGTAATACTGCGCCCAACTACATATCCATTTACTAGATGCTAATAAATGTTTAGACACGGATGGGGCTGTCCCGTAGATCCCACACGCGCTGTGACTTATCTCTCGGCCGCAGCATCCAATTCTGCCGCGGTTGAGGCGGAGGCCCTCCGTGCCGGGGTCAAGAAAGGAGGAGTTGCAAAAGGCGAGCTCGTTTTGGCCATGTTCGAGTTGGCAAATTGCTTCCGCAATGGGTGGGGTATCGCAAAGGATCCTCCTGCTGCTAGACAGTATTACGAGACTGCTGCGAATTTGGGTGACACTGATGCCATGAATGAAGCGGGGTGGTGTTACCTCGAAGGATTTGGGGGTAAGAAGGACAAGGTACGTGTGATCTCCGCCCATGTGTATATTCTGCGCCTATTCTGACTCAACGTGGCTCTAGTTCAAAGCCGCCAAGTATTACAGACTTGCCGAGGAGAATGGGTGCCCTACTCTTGGGAATTCATGGTATGTTCAGCTGACTGACGATTTGAAGTTTGAATCTAATGGATACTATAGGATCTGGAAAGACAAGTATAACCCGAAGTAATCTGCTTCAGGGTTGCAGACGTAACTCTTTACTACGACGGAGGTAGTCATCATTACCTCTATTCTACGATTGATGTATTCCACTGTCTCATTATTCGATGTATCTTGACTTTTCCTACGTGTCACGTCAAACATTCATGATCGATGTTCAATTATCCTATGATGCCCTTTCTCGGCGGTCACTATAGCATCATTAGCAGTAACACGCGCCTCCTCCCCATCAAAAATCAAAGCAATGTCTTCAAGCGACCTCCCCCTGGTCTCAGGATAGGTCTTCCAAACAACAACCAAGACAACAAGCAGCACGACTAAAAATACAAAATAATATTTCCAAGAAATCCTCTCAAACGCAATAGGGTTAATAAGCTGATTGAAAACCAGTGCTATATAATTCGAGATTGTGGAGATAGCAACACCCTTAGCACGCAGCGAGGTCGTCCAGATCTCAGCCGGGTATGCCAGGAGCAGGGGCGTGAAAGCGATATCGTAGCCCGCATAGTAGATGAACAAGAACGGGATCACGGCTGTTCCCACAGCGCTGGTGCCCGTCGTCGTGAAGCTGCCTGATAGCGCAGTGATGAAGATATAGCTAATCAGCATAATCACAGTTGATGTGATGAAGAGCGCACGGCGGCCAGCACGGTCGACAAGACACGCGCCTACCACACTCATGATCAGGTTCCAGAGTTGGAGGAAGCCGTTTATGAGGGTTTGGTCCGTTGTCGAGGTTATACCGATTGTATCGAGGATAAGGGTCAGGTAGTATGACACCACACCACTAGAGCAGATATATATCTAGTCAGCAGCGTACTCTCCACAAATTTATATTCCACCTTGGGAACAATAGTAAACCACAAGTGCAACACATACCCTCCATTCCACTGCGCAAACACACCCAAAGAAACACTCAAGAAAAGCCGATACCGATTCCCAGGCGTCCTAACACAATCAATCCAGCGCGCCTCGAGCTGATTCTTCCGCTCCAGCGCCAGGGCTTGGCTAATCTCCTCCATCTCAGAAGCCACCAGCTGCGACCCCTCATCCCCACCAGCATGAAATCTAACCAGCATACTCCTCGCCTCCTCAACCCGCCCACAACTAATCAGCCAACGCGGGGACTCAGGCATAAACAACGTCCCAGGCAAAGCAAGAATCGGCAACGCAATCTGCATAAGCACAGGCACACGCCAGGCCCAGCTACTCTGCGCATTCCTCATCCCGAAAGAAATCCACGCCGACAGCGAGGACCCGACATAGTACTGACACATGTAGATAGCAGTGACGAGCGCGCGATGCGAGGGATACGCGATTTCCGTGACAAGGATGACAGCGCACTGGAACCAGGCGCTGGCGATACCGATCAGCAGACGGGAGTAGATGAATGTATTGGTATTTTGGGCTGCGGCCTGCAGTGCCACGCCGAGAACGATGAAGATGTACCCGGCTAGGATTGTGGGTTTGCGGCCGAAGCGGTTGGCGGACCATGCTTGGATGGGGAGGAAGAGTATGCTGCCTATGCTTTGCAGGGCGTTTATGAAGCCGAGTTTTATTCCTGTTGGGTTGTCCATGAAGGTTTGCCATTGCGGTAGGGATTGTAGGCTGTTCATTAGGGAGATGTCGTAGCCGAATGTGCTGGAGAAGAGGATTAGGCTTGCTATTATGGTGTTTAGGTAGATGAGGTGGGTTGTTTTCCACCATGGTTTGGGCTGGGACTTGGTTGTTAGTTCGGTTTATATTGGTTATCTGACGGTATGAGGGGGGTTGTTTATACCGAAGCTAGTAGCGAGATCGCTCTTGCTGTGGGCTTGTCTTCCATGATGGGGATTCTGCTCAACTGGGAAAGGAAATGAGGGTATTGCCGAGTGTATCTCGGGTTGTCTGAATTAATGAAATTCCAGACATTAATCCGTCTCTCTTTTCCCCGGCATCCCGCAATCCCGGACGGAATACCTCAGCAGATTCCGGGGATTTGCGGAGAAGTGGACCTGAACCCAACCGCGTTATTGGCTTAGCTCCGACACAATTATCTACCTTCGGTCAAGTGTAGATTTTTATTCTTCAGACATCAGGGGTTGGTGGATATTAGCTTCAAAGGAGTGCCAGTACATACATACAGTATCGGATAGCCACAAGGTGCACAAATCCGATTCCCCTTTGTCAGGTGGGAACCCCTTTTCTCTGCCATTGGTTTGTGAGACAATCAATTTTAGTCTGTGGATCATCATGTGGTTGTTCGTGTTTATTTAGCCTTTTACGCGAGGTAAACAAGGGGTGAATTGGATATCACTCAATTCTAACGACTGCGACTGCGACTGCAACATCTGAACTTTAGAACTTTGACTTCTAATGTCGTACACTAGACATAAATTCATCGGCATATTCCAAATTAGACCAGCACAACTTCATGAGTTACAGTAGTGTTCCTCAGGATCTTGATCTTCCTCGCCTCTAATCCCGCCTGTATCTTCTCTTCCCCCTTCATCTCAGCTTCTTCTTCTTCTTCCTCGATAATATCGCTACTACTCACACCGATCATCTCAATTTCAAAATCTAACTCATGGAAAAGTCGTCGCATCCACGCAGGTAACTGTTAGCATTCTCTTTGAGAGGCTAATTTAGTTAGCTAGAAGCTACAAAATGACTATTATAGCGCAATGGCTAAGACAACAAAACTCACATCGCTTCGGGCTCTCTGGAAACAAGCAGACTGAATGATCTATATCCCTCAATATCCGTCAAAAAGTCCGACACAGGAAGTGTCGTATCATTTTCCGACGCCCACCTCTTAACAGGGTTACCAAATGTAGCTAAGATTTTCTCCCGTTTGACCAGACTGCCCGTCACAAGACCCATGGTGGTAGTTGGTATTACTCTATTCACAGGCTGCAGATAGAATTTGTTATTGCAGTATTGGAATACGCTTCTTCATCGGGGTTTTGTCTTGGTCACATGTTCGGGAACAGCGCAAGTAATCCCGGCATGATGTTTTCATCCAAAGCCCATTTCACACTATTTTCTGCGGTCTATCTATGAAAGACGGGCAACAACATATCTACAAATCAAAGACATTTCAATAGACATCTAAAAACTTTTACTAGTGAAGTGGTACGCCAGATTTGCTTTTCCGCCCAAATGGAATTCCCTACCTGATACCATACCATAGATTATCACTGAGGAATCTGCGAGACTCAATGTGCCTAATGAGAATGTGTATCGCCTCAACGCCAATCACTACACCATGTGTAAATTCTCCAGCCGGACTCAGAAATACATAACGGTTTCGAGGGTGATTGTACAATTAGTCAACGATGTAGGTAGTTTCAAATCAAGCAAATATATTTTTAATTCGATTTGTAGGATACAGACACACGAATTTCCTAGTGCATATGTACGTTTACCACACTCGTATTTATATAGACTTGTAACGGATAATGATCCTTATAACGAAAATATCAATATTATATGGCACTGATAGATCGATGAGGGGTTTGTCGCATGATAGGCATGTCAGCGTGGGCATGTAGACTTCCCTATAGTCTGAGATCCCCCAGCAACCCTTGTAATTCTAGCAAGAATTATCTTGGAAGTTCAGACATACAATAGCAATGATAGGCTCCTCTGCCGAAGGTAACTTGTGTCTAAAATACTTTAGTACGGAATGGATTAGGAATAGTACTTGTAGATCTCCTGGGGGCTGTGCCCATACAACACATGCAGGACTTTCTCCTTCTACATCCTTTTGTCCCTAAATTCTAGTTAAAGTAATATGATTTCGTGGTATATGATAGTTTAAGATGCTCTGATCTAGCTCTGGATAGATGGGGGCGTTACCGCGAGGAAATCCAATCGGTTGGTTAAGAGATGTCGTGAATGTGCCCAGGTGAAACTGAAATCTGAGCCGACCTACGCGCCCGGAAATATTTATAAAAATACAGCCAAAGAAAAATTCCCCTGAAAACCACTAAGGACTCGATTTAATCCAGCTACTATGATTATTTCTTAAATACTATGTGAGCCATCCTTAACAGACATCCTACTTTTCCTCAGCCTCGTCCTACCCCGGTGCCCCGCATCACCTACACACTGTCTTCTCACCTCATCTATTTGTGACCCTTTCACCATGTCGAGTGACATAAGCGCACAGGTAGACGTCGGTAGTCTCTCCCTCTCGGGCCTGAAACAAGTTGCGGGAATACTTAGTGTTCTCTCAGCCGACGATGTGCAACCTATGGCAATGCTCCAACTGCAAGATCTGGGCACTCTGTTTTCAATAAGCGGACCAGTTGCATCCAAAGTCCCAGATTATCTTCTGAGGTGTAAGAGCGTACGCATTGAGCGACTTGGGTATCTGGTTGGCTGGCGCAAAGGCGACTCAGCCTCACTCATGGCACAGTCAACCGGTGGCCAGGCCGTGGCGTTGTTATCTGTCTGCCTGTGGAGTCTTTACCAGGAAAGCACTGGAGACATTCTTCATACCATCTCAAGTGCGATCTTGCCACAGTCTGCGCGTGCAAGTAGCCCTGGAATTCTCGAAAGGGCCGCAAAGATACTTGCCGATAAACTTCAGGTAGTCGGTTTTGGGACTATTCTTGCAAAACAGGTATGCCGCATCCATGATGCGTACGAGAATTTGAAGGAGCGAGTGCCCTGTGACATCTTGGAATCTCTCAGTCAAGACTGGATGGCGGAATTTCTTATTGGTGTTTCTCGCGCTTTAAGAGAAGAAAATGCGATCCTTCGGGTTCGCGGATGCTACGGTCTGGGATACATATCAGCCCTTATGGTCACCTTGTTTCCCGACGACTGTACCGTTACAATCGAAAAGATTGTTGTTCATGTGGGAAAAAACACCTCCTCCATCACTGTTGATATTGTGGGGCCCTCTTGCGGAACACTTCCCGAGGTTCACTTCATGGAGACGGTTGAAAGCATTGCAGATGTACTCCTCAATCCAGGAAAGGCAGAATATCGATATCGCGACAAATTCGCCACTGACGCCTGTTTTTCTTGGGAAGGTCACATTGCCGCATCCCTGAGGCTTGAACTTCAACATAAAGGCTTCCTCTACTCGTCTGAAGTTGTCGAACTAGTAGGGGTATGTGCATTGGCGATGTCGGACTGTCTTTGTATAGAATACCAGGGCCTTGATCCAGAAATTCTCGCAGTGAGCATCCTAGGCGATAGTTATCGGGCGAAGAGACACAAACGCTGCGAGATTGCTATGGGGGTTCAGTTGCCATCAACCTGGCCGCCCTTGGGAAAAGCGATGAAGTTGCTTTTTGAAGTAAAATCTTCAGAACTCAAATCATCGCCACACTGGAATATTACCGCTTCGAGTATAGCCGGAATGGCTGTTGGCGCCACATTTAAGGCTCTTTTCTTCAATCCCCACGAACAAGTCACCGTCAAAGGGATTTTTTCACAGGAACAGAGTATCTTGGGTCAGTTTGGAGAATGGACGGATCCTCGCAATTGGTCGAGCGATGGCGTTCTAGAAGCAATATTCCCTGATTTAAATCGAAAGGGCCTGGATAAGACAATCGCAAAGTCACTTGGGGCTAGCACATATGTGCCATCTACGTATCTGACTCTCAGAGACGATGATATATGTCACTACCGGAGCATCGAAATCTTTGATGGTCCGATCATTTTCAATGGAAGATACTACGGCGAAGTGAATAATCCCACGATTGAGGAAAGCAACGCCGGTAACCTCTGTGAATTGGGCGAGAAGGCTAACATCGTGCCAAGCTCAGAAGGGTGCGTTTCTCAGGTTTCTTTCACGGCTAGAGAGAGATTGGATGAAGTGTTACTCGAAGCCACATTGATGTACTCGGGGCAAAAGATTAGCGTATCCCTGGCAAAAAGAATGCGCCAACTATTCTGCCTAATCAAAACAACGCAATGTGAACACCCACGAACAACGCCATTGAAAGAGGAATATTGCAAGCGGGTCTTGACGGCCTCTGCGCTATCTCCAGATCCCCCGAGAGGTTCCATCGCTATTGTACAGACCGCCGGAGATCCAGTCGCTCAGATTCTTGCACTTTCTCCTGGTGCTCGGGCAATTCTCTGTTATAGGTGCTGCCTTAATTGTGCATTTGAGCAAGCACAAAATTGGAAAGCTCGCAAGATCATCGTCGCATGATTCAGATCATTTTGCGACATGATCTATATGCACAGCAACATGGAAGGGTTGGTGGTGGCCCTGACAGCCTGAGGCCTGCATGTGTGCAGGACCTATATTTCCGTAGTTCTCCTCCTCTCTCTCTATATATTGTCAGCTTCAGGCATTTCATGTCTGTTTTATACTGCAGCTTCTTTGTTAGATAGAGAGTATTCAGCACAAGGGAACAGGGTGTTAATTATTACCACATATAATGTGCTTATTATCTGTAAATCTACATTGAATTCGCCTTTCCCGACAAAATTTCCTTTCGCAAGAAAATAGCCCCTGTATCCCATAATTGTCCATTCTCATATTTTACGGCATGGTGCAATGTCGAGCATGAGTTAGTGTATATGAAGTAGAGATGACCTTCTGTTATAATGTACCACGGTTATTGTTAGCCGATGCACTGCTATCTCTAGGGACTCCTGGAAGAAAATTCCAAAGAAACAACATCGCCCCCGAAAGCGCGATTATAAACGGCATCAGAACCTCAACACCCTTGGCTTGCGCAAGTATTCCGACAATAAACGGAAGCACGGCCGCGCCACCACCACCAAAGGCTGCAGCAAATCCAATGGCGCTGACATGCAAGTGTTTTGGCAAGAGTTTTGTGGTAACAATCACGACCGCCGGGAATAGCGGACCCAGAAAGAAGCCTTGCAGTGATACCGCGACTGCGCCAGCGTAGAAGTTCGGAACCAAGTATAAGATCAGGCAAAATGCTATCTCAAGCGAGATATAGATCTACTAGAGAGTGAGTTGGTGGTATAAATTGAATGCATAAGACATACTGGGAGGGCCTACCGAGATAGCGATTTTCTCACCAATCAAAGGAGTCACGAATCCAAGGATGACCCTTCCAAGGGTTATCCCAAGCCAGAAACCTGTAGAAGTCATGCTGCTAGAAAATGGTGCGGCGTGCCGCACTTCTTTCATGAATGTCACAACCCATCCTCCTAGTGCGACTTCGACGCCAACATAGCCAAGTAAGAAGATTGAACAGATCCAAGTAATTCGCGCAAATGGCATTGTAGATAGAACACTGCGCAAGCCTGCTCTCTCAGATGTCTCATTGGGCTGTTGATTCTTAGCGAGTTGGAACGACGCTCCTGTAGAATCCCAGAAACACGCAACGCAGACGAAAGCCTCGATTGCAGCGCCTCCAATCTAGGAAGATCAGTTTCCACGAACCAAATTCATGTCATTAAACCTAGCAAGCAAACGCCACGTACCATTATGTAATAAAAATAGTACCATGGCAGACCAGCATCCGCAACAAGCAGCGATGCGATGAGAGGGCTAATAACGGCACCCACGCCATAAGACCCATGAAGTAGCCCAAGTAATTGGTTCGCATTATCGAGGTTTCCAATCCAGGCATTCCATGCCGAGTCTGCGAGGCCATTGCCCAGACCTGCGAATATGAATGATACAACGAGGACGGGGTATGGTGGATGCACGCAGTTCAAGATGTAGGCTATTAGATGGCACAAAGATGAGATGAATGCTACGCCTCGTCGGCCTATAGCACAGTGTGCTCGCTCGTTCACGATTGCGGCGGTGGCATAGCCGAGCAGTGGAGAGAGGAAGACGAGGGAGACGATTGTATAGGAGAGTTTGTAGTAGGATTCGAGCTGGAATTGTGTTAGAAGGGGCGGAGGACTTGAGGCTCGGGGTTTGATGTACATATGGGAGGAGTGGCTGTATCGTAATATGGAATTAATATCAAATTCCAACTACCGTGTATATTATATATAGATGAGATCTTACACCGTATGCGGAGTCATTTGCTCCCATTATTAGAAAGCTCCAGAATGTTGCTAGCGTCTTTGCTATGTTAGATCGTGGGTGATTCCATTTTTCGTTGGCAATCTGGCAAGATGACTGATATGAAGATGAGGGCTGATTTTCATGCTGAAGGGTTTGGCTTTCATATATCATGGTGCGCGGGCTATCTTGCACTCCAATGGACATAGCTGTGCTGTTAAATCGACTGAATGATTTAAGAACCAGAAAGAGGGAATAGATAAAAACACAGGACAGAGAAGTAGATCAAACAGCTTTATAGTATTTATATAAACAAACTACGAAAGCTCTGTTTATGAATATCATCTGCCTTGTCATCGAGCGAAAATTGAGAAAGTTTCCTAATCAGTAACGGAGCGGGTCTTCCTAAATAAGAAGGTCCGCCAGCCGACTCGGTCCCTGTTTCTCCGCTTCTTCTGTCGTGTGTCTATCGAACCGAGGAAGGCGGGCAAATTATCTATAAAGATGACATCTAAAGAAGACATTCAAAAAGAAAAACCAAAACGACAGGCCAACTATTCTTGTACCGTATATTTCTATAGTTCTCGTGCCTCTCATTGTAACCCCGCATTTATCCACTTTGAGCTCCCGTGATTGGACATTGAAACTCTAACAATGACTGGAAAACTCCAGCTTCATCCCCAAATGTGACACTCACTAACTAGATAGGACCTTGACAAAGCCGCCTCAAACAGCAGAACAAAATTAAGGGCAGTCCGCTCGCGCGAATTATAGCAGCCAGACTAAACATTTTCTCAATTGAATCATTGTCGTTCCATCGTGGACAATATGCGGCGAGATGAGTCAATCAAATTCTATATGCCGGTGACAAACAGCTACCTAGGTAGATCAAGATGATTACGTGGTAGCTTATTCTGATCTCAGCCTTGGGCACAAGAAACTGATAGAAAGTCTCGAGCATATTTTTCCCAGCCGCCGTATAGTGAGTGGTCTTCTTATGATAATTCGAGAGAGAGGAATCTGATCAAGGACGAAGGAGGTTGTCTACATAGCGAAAAAGGGGAATTTCCGTGTATGCCAGCTTAGATATTGAAACCAGCGATGGCGTCGAAGCAACATTCGCACCATATCGGTGCTACCCCCCAATGAAGCGGCATGTAGGGCAGTGCTGAAACTACCACCTACATACGGAAATATCTGCACCAATGTATATATTCCTCAAGAAGCGGCATGTCGATGAAAGTTGACTCTGATTAAGTCAGGGGACTGGGTCTGCTCCTTTCCCCCTCAAGCTCTTCTATTTAGCTACTCTTCCCATCACCATCGTATAGAGAGATTTCGTTGCATGGCCTGTCTTCCCGTAGATCACCCCCCAAAGGAGCTTTTACCACCCTTATGCGTTGAATTCACGGCCGTCATCGAGGAGCATCCGTATTATCTGAGTATTCCCACCGTATAAAGCACCCTATAGAGCGTTACCATATCAACCGCGTTGGATATTGACGTCGGCGTTGGAATCGAGGAGAATCCGCACTGAATAGACGCTTTCATTGTATGAAGCGGCTTGTAGTGCGGTGCCATATGAACCACCATGGGCGTTTACGCCGACATTGGCGTCGAGGAGAATTCGCACTAACTTAGCGTTCCTCGCTGATATAGCATCTCGGGGAGGGCTAGTAATTCAAAGACTTTAACTATTACAGTAGAACTGGAGATCTCATACACCACTCATATTATAAATTATGCAAAATACTGTAGGCAGAACGTGAACTGGCGCACTGGCCTTGGTAGACTGCCATACCCGGGCGCTGGAGGGTTCCAGTTGGGCAGCACCACAGCACCACATGCTAGTGTGATTTATCATGCATGTGCACAGCCCAAATCCTACTGGTTATCCATAGGCTCAACGAATTGCAAACTACAGAGATCTGTTGATCCTCATGTCTTGATTAGGCTGATTCGGAATTTTCCGCATGGATGAAGTAAAACAACAGAGGTCTCATCAGTAATAACATTTTCCCAATCTTCCAAAGTCCAATCTCGAATTTTGATGTCCAAGTCACTAAGCCAGCATAGCTTCGCGCGTAGCTTTTGTTAAATCGGGCTTTTGGTAGGTGCCTTTTTTTGTGATTCGGCCTTTTTCAGGATCCGCCAGACAGTAGTCGACGAGATATCATGTCCTTCGAGGCTCATTTCTCCAGCAATATCAGTGCAGGTTTTTTCGCGGCCGTTCTCGTCAGTTTGTACTTTTGAAAGCACTTGAGTTTGCACATCTGTCGTCTGTTTTGTCGGCCTTCCAGAGCGAGGGGCATCAGCTAGCATATCGTCAGAGATATTCCAAGGACGCGAGTTTGGGTCAAAGCCATTTGCAAGGGCTCTTTCATATATGCGGTTGACGGTGCGCGTCGAAAGGCCAGATAGCTCTGAAATAGTAGTAGTGCTAAGACCAGTAGCTTTGCAGGATACTACAATTGCGCGCTTAGCAATATCGTGGCCCATGGTAGTAGGTGGTAGTAGCCAGAAGGTATGTGATAGTAAAAGAGGGCATATAGAAAAGGGGGTTTAAAGGAGGGGTGGTATACGGAGTACATACACCACCATTACACGCTAGTTTTTTTTTCTTCGAAAAAGCAAACAAAAATACGGGTACAAACTTCAATATCTATTTTTAAATTTGAGGTTGAAATAGGCCTTCTTACGGAGGAATTATTCGTTTCTTTCAAATCAAACTAATGAGAAAGCTTAATCTGCATTAAAGACCGATGAACCAAGATCCAATCTTCTTATCTCCGTACCATGTCTAAAATTCTAATCTGTTGTCAGAAAACCCCAATCCCCATTTACGTTCATGCTGTCTGCCCCTGTGTGGTTGAATAAAGTACCCTAATTGGGCGAGCAGTCTCTAGTGGGTGAATGAACATTTTATACCAAAGGAATCTAAACACCCCTTTCTTTGGCCTCATTTCGGTTCGTATCGGAAAGAAAAATTAACATCATATCGAGTGGAATGATGAACACATACTAGCAATTGATGTAAAAACGCCTGGAAAATGTGCATTAATGACGAGCTTTGCACGGCTTCGTATATGACTGGAACAAAATTCGTCATTATTGAGTCTTCGAAAATGGATTGTCCATACATTCAGCAGCGGCATGCCACGGTTGCTGGCATGTTCCCATCAAATTCAGTATTCGGCGATGATTTGTTTGAGGGCTTCACCTATGTTATCGGGATTGTCGATAGGAAAATGCGTATTCCTCCACCACCCTCCACGAAATCTTTCATTCCAAAATGTCCAGGGTTGGACATAATGACAGTCACCACGTTTGGAAGACATAGCCTCAAAGACTTTCTTCATGCAGCCGCCTGAGTACAGCCGCTCCTTACGTGTCTCGGTAAGGTTGTCAACTCGGTGGCGTGCGTATTCCAAAACGTTGGCGGCGATGCCAGCTGCGATGGGTGTTGCGAACGAAGTTCCGGAGATGTAAATGTTTGTGTCGCCATCTTCAGTCCACAAGGTGTGCTCGATACCGCAACCGAGCGTGGCGAAACAAAGATCTCCTTCGCTACTAGGGTTGATATTGACTCCCGTTCCGAGGCCGTCGGTAACGTGTACCGCGATCACGTTATTCTTTCTCGCGGGCCATGACCTTCGCGCATTACCACCGCTATTGTTACCAGCTGCGGCAAAGACAATCTTCCTCGTCGCTCCATCGTATGATGGATCCAGGGCCTCGTTAAGTGCCTGATCAATGTCGGGATTTTCTTCTTGGAGTGCCAAAGACATGGTGATTATGTCGACGTCCCACTTCTGGACCGCCCAGTTGATAGCCTTTTCGAGCAGTAGAATGCGTCAGTAGTGTTAGATGGTCGCTGAACAGCAAAATTACGAAGCTCCTAGAGACCCAGCTCACTCACCTCAGCTATACAGTACAATTTGTTCTTGGGTATACAGTGCTCTGTGTCACTAGAGACCTTGGCAATGAAAAGCTCGGCTTCCGGCGACACGCGCATCAGCAGCCGAGTCACCATGGTGCCGTGACCCAGCTTATCATCCCATTGCTTGGGTCTTGCGATGAAAAGTTGCGACACTCCCGAATTTGGCCATCCTTGCAAGCCGGTCCAATAATGGGGTCATGTCTATCCACGCCGCTGTCAATAACGGCGATGCGGATCTTCCTGCTCCGATGCTCTGGCAATCGCTGATTCTCGGTCTGTTTCCTTATGTGTGTGTCAACAAAGTCATCCATGTTTTCGAGAAATTGCTTTGAGCGTGATCTAATTGCAAGTCAGCTCGCTGACCTCGCTTTCTTGTGCAAATGGTGAAAAGTACGAACAATTTATCTTCCGTCGTGTCATGCCCCGTTTCCCAGTCAAATGGTGATTCCTGGCTTTCTTCTGAATTCTGCACTGATGAATCCTCCAGAACTGACGTCGAGAACTCGGGAAAGGCGGCGTATTTGTCCAGAGGTCTGACTATCTTATAGAAGATGTATCTTTGGAGCCTGTATTTGTCGGACTTGTCTTGCGCTGCCTCCTTCCCCGCTGCGTCAAGACAAGCCTTGACAGCTAGCTTAAACATCTGGTCTCCGCCACGGAACTTTCGAACATCATTGATCAATTTGAGTATATCTTCAAGGAGCTTTCTTTTAGATAGCTTGCTGCCTTCGTTTCTGAGAGGGATGATTTCCTGTCTGTGGATCTCCAAGATAAGCTTCGCAAAATCTAGAAGTTGGGGATCACAACTGAGGCCATCATCATCTTCCGATTCTACCTCGTCATTGAGCGCATAAGAAAGGTACGGCTTAGTTATGTCAACGATCGTCTGGGTGGCGGGATCTCTGAGGAAGAATATGCCATCCCCAGTGTTGCAGTCAGTTCTCCAGCTCGCTCGTCTCCAACCTGTAGTAGATAGATGGAGAAGGGAGAGTGCTAGGTTCAAACACATCATATCCCGATCAAATGTATCAATTCTGGCAGAACTTTTGCTATGGTTGGACACACAATTGAGGAGCTCCGATAAGCTTTTCGTGGGAGCTGCCGCAGATTTGAGGGGATAGGGTCCATCAAGTTGAATCTTAGCAGTTTGGGATCCAGGATACTCCACTCTGAACTGTTCTTGTGGATCATCTCCAGAAGATTTCTCCAATGTTTCTTGAAGCAAGATACTCAAATCCTTGTTTAGCGTTTCCGCCTTGTCAATGAAGCCGCAATCATGATCCTCTGCGTTGGCTATAGCGTCACTAAATGTATGTTAGTAACCAACCCCGAGTTTAATACGACCGGCAATGTTTGGGGGATAGTAAGGCGACACTGCGAAAAGACCAATGTTCGAGACATTGCGAATTTCACGGTTGGAAGTAAAACAAGAAGTCCAACTCACGTTGCAATGGTGCACTTGCTCCGCACCCAGCGAGGGGGTGTCCTGATGTACTCTGAAGATAGGTAAGCGTCAAAGAAGAGCTTTGACTGCATGTTGAGTTGGTCAACAAATCCATTCATTTTGAGTCGCATGAAATGTCCTCTGTTGCAACATTGCAGCTGTTGGACAAGCACAGCAAATAATGTTTGTAGGCCACTGCGGACTCTGTCCCCAGGGACTCCAAGGACTTCCTCGGCATGGAGGTTTGACCCGGTGAAATCTTTCTCGGCAGTGTAATCCAGAGTCTCATGTTGCGTTTCGTGCCTCATTAACATATTTTTGAACTGTCGTGACGATTCTATAAGGTTATCTATGGTGTCTGCTTCGTTGTGTGTTCCCCGAGCTTGCGCACGATTGCTAATCATTATGAAGCCATCTTCGACATCCTTTTCATGGCAGCTATCTGGGGGTGCATCCTCGGCCGCACTCCAGGAGGGTGAGTTGATGACAGAATCAACTCGAGCGAAGGCGGAGACAGTCCTTAAGATACCTTGGAATTTCTGTTGTAGTCTTTGGGGCGATCGAACGTCTCCGTGAAAGAACGCCTCGACTGACTCGCTTGACCTAAGCATGCCGGTACGGTGTATGGATTGTAAATGTGTGCTTCCAGGCACNTGAATTTAAGTGCCTGGCGTAGAATAGTGGTTGTAAGGTCCTAACGATCGCGAAGATGCGGTATCAGCACGTGGCCATATGAACATTGCATTAGTATCTCCCTAGCACTATCTCGCCATTCTCCGCCAATTAATTGTTACNCTTAAATTCATGCCTGGCGTAGAATAGTGGTTGTAAGGTCCTAACGATCGCGAAGATGCGGTATCAGCACGTGGCCATATGAACATTGCATTAGTATCTCCCTAGCACTATCTCGCCATTCTCCGCCAATTAATTGTTACGCTGTAGCGCCGCCATTTGGCCCCATCTTTTTGGAATGAGGGGATTGGCTGGACAGTAGGCTTACGGCATGCATCTACTTTCAGCTGAAAGCTGCATCAGAACGTGCAGGCTTCTCGGATTGGACACCACTCCTGCGTTGGGTACACAAGAAGGGAGTCTGACTACTTTGTACCCGGCCATCCATTATCTTATCCTGAAATTGAGCCAATCTTGCTGATATTTCACCTTCAAAAGACGCTATAAGCCTCTAACGTTGTCAGGCAGACCACCTATCTGCTAGGAAAATGGGCGCCAGCTCTCCCGAATACCATATTGTCGGAAAACGAGTGGCCGTTGGGCGGTTGCTACTTGGTACAATTATCAGCAATCTGGATGAGCTTTTCCCGATCAACAAAGGAGAAGAGCTTTTGATTGACGACAAGGACCTGGACCACTTCCACGACCGCAATTCCGAGATCTCGAGAGATGCTGCTCTGGCGGGCAAAGCTGGAATTGCCGCCAAGGCCCTTGCATTTTATCCGGCCGGGGGCGAGGCGGGCGTTGACGCCGAGCGCAGCTCAAAGGACATCTACAGTATCCCCGATGTTTATACCTGGCAGTTTGATCCAGAGGAGCGCGACTACCTTGATGCCATGGAATCGGAGAAGGTGCAGAAATTTCTAGTGATTAATAGCTACCGCCCAGTATACATAATAACGGGCTTGAAATTGAGCCCAGGGATGTCGGTCGACCTCACAAGGGTTAAAAAGACACAAGGGGGCTTAGAGCTTGGAGTCGAAGTCGGGACAGCCGTTTCGATTGGTCCAAAGTTGGGGTTTTCCAAGGCCATAAATGTTGGTCAGAGAGGAGAGGAGCTGACTGAACGAATTTTCGCAATCAGAGTGCGAAGACTGAGATACAAGAAAATAGGTGGAGTTCTGGGATTTGGAGGCTCGCGGAAATTGATAAATCAACAACACAATGATGGTGCTGAACTAGTTGGAGTTCATAGACCTAAGCAGAGTCAAGGTCAAATGCTGGGCCATAGTTATGAAGTAACTGAGGAGGATGATACGGAAGATGAGATAGGAGAGGATAGAAGGATTCATGAGGAAGAGGTCACCTGGGTTGTCCCCAAGTCTTGAGGGGAAGCTGCTCAATCCCAGTATTTAAATAGGGAATGTTCATAGTAATTAGTATATGGACTCAAGTGATTATGTTGGTCTTCATTCCATTGAATTGTATTGTTTGTCTGAGCCTGGTCATGTGCAGGGCGCATAACAGACCGACCTCGTGTAAAGGAATTCGACCCCGCAGACGTCTTCCCCCACAGCCCCTACAACACTTAAAATACGTTACATCCATGCCTTAAAGCTTTCATTAATATCAAGATGCATTACAAGAGCGATATAGCAGGCATAGTTAGCCATTGCCTACAGCTTTTCAAGGATTGCTTATCGGAAGACCTTGAAGATGATATCCTGACCATACTCGAAGACCAACAGCGCTGTTTGTGGCGGTGGGCGAACAGCTTGAAGGTCTTTGCAGGACCTCCTGTCAACTTGGATGCACAGTTACGTCAAGCCACGAGCGACAATACTCGAGAGATGGTACTGCTTCTTCTTGATGTGCTAAAAGATAACCTAATAATTAGTAAGTTTACTGTTTTGATCTTAAAGCTCAATCAACCAAGAACTACAACACAAAGTGAAAAAGAAACTGATCTAGAAATCAAAAAAGCCTTGAAGACAATATCTTCAAAAGAAAGACCAGCCTCCACATCAACTCTACTAGCGAACAAACCCAAGAATATTGAGACGGGAGAGTTGATTGATTGGAAGAAAAAAGAAAATGCCGAAGAGTTTATGGTGGGGCAAGAGTCTAAGAAATTCGTTCTCCGAGAAGATGATTTCAAAGTTCCTTTCTTCGGCATCGATGGGTCACTGGAACGCCTCGAGAAGCTGGCCACCGCTATCCTTGAGGTTACGGAGGCGAGCGTACATCGCAGAGTGTATGCCTATCAAGCAAAAAACCAAGACAAGAGGTTGGAGAGAGACGTTTACCTCTATCTTCTCGGGGAATTCCCCAACCTGGTGCCGAATCACGCTCATCGAAAGTCAATGCTATTCGCATTAGGGAAGGCCAAATCCTCTGATGAAGACAGGTCCCCACAAGATTTCCAAGCCATATTTCGATCGAGTTGGATTCCGGGTCTCTTCCGGGCGCTATCTAACTCAGTCTTGTTCCGACACTATCGCATAATGTACGAACAAGAAAGAAGATTAAAAGGCCCAAACCATCATATTTCTACTAAAGGCTCTCCGCGGTTGGCAGAAAGGACTCTTGACCCCGGGCTTCGTCGAGAACACACAAGACAAGCGCAGCCCTCGCTTTCCCCTCGCGCTCCTACAATACAAAATTACACGCCATCTAAATCAACTAAAGCCCTAACTATTGACGAATCAAACTTTGATGGCAGAATTAAGACTGCAAAGTATCACCACTTGGCGGGCACGCCGAGCGATGGGGCTTACTCCGTTTTAGAGTCAGGCCATGATATTTATCCCAACCCACCACAACTTCCTGAGGGGGCGACTGAAGGAGTTTGCACCCTTTGCAGACAATCGCTCCCTGCCAGTAATTTTGAAGGCAATCAGTGGAGGTATGTGACTCAGCGTTTAACTGAATCAAGGATCGGATTTTCACCCCTGTTGATTATATACTGATTGCTGCATAGCGCCCACATTGAACAGGACATTAAACCCTATGTCTGCATATCCGAGAACTGCGAGCAAATTCCCAGCTATTTTGTGAAGATTCAGGAGTGGAAAGTCCACATGCAAACGATTCACACGCCACAATGGATTCGCTACATTCATAACCCTTTGAGTTGGAAATGCCCAGAGCCAGAGTGTCACTCAACCTCAACGATAGAATTCGCATCTGAGAAGGAGGCGCAGGAAAGCTTGATCAATCACATGAAGCAAGAGCACTTCGAGTTAGATGAAGACGAACTACATCACTTGGCAAGCGTTAGTATCATTCCCAAGCCGCGAGCTGTGGACATATGCCCGATCTGTGGGGATGACCACAAGCCAAAGAATCCCTCACAGCAGAGCAGTGACAACTTTGAATCCAAAAACTCCACGCACAGGGCAACTCCGCAGTCACAGGTGGCCCGGAAGGGCAAAGTGGCTATATTTGATGTGCCAGGTGCCTCAGGCAGCGAAGATGATACAGATTCCGTTGATAATCCCACTAGGCGAGCTCAACCCAGACCACTGGGCAGCCGGGGCCCGCAAGGCAATGACCACAGCAGAATAGAGACGCACATAGGTCGCCATCTCAGTAATATGGCATTTCACTTCTCCAGCAGGCTCATTAAAATCCAAGGGGAACATTCAAACGCATTGCAGGAACCAGGCGCGGACTCCACGGCGCAGAGGGGCTTCCAGAGAGTGCACACAGAGCAAGATAAGGAACAATTAGTATGCATTGAAGCCAATCGAGAACAGCTTGGCGGGGAGTGGGAAGGCGATCGCCGACCGACGGAGGATCTCGAAAAGACGACTCTAGTGTTGCCCCAGGTGGAGGTAAAGAACAAACATAAAGCCATTGTCAGGCGGCTCCTTGAGGCTGAAAGCGGTGACTTCGGCATGAAGAACATTAATGGATTGCCGCTAATATCGTGGGCGGCACTCAATGGATACGAAGCCGTTGTCAAACGGCTTCTCGATACCGGTAAGGTCGACCCGGATGTAAAGGATAATCTTGGACGGACACCTCTATGGAGGGCGGCAAGCGGAGGACACGAAGCCGTTGTTAAACGGCTTCTTGATACTGGCAAGGTTGACCCGGACGTAACGGATAATCTTAGACGGACACCGCTATATTTGGCAGTAATCGGAGGACACGAAGCTGTTGTCAAACGGCTTCTTGGCACCGGTAAGGTTAATCCGGATAGAAAGGATAATCTTGGACGGACACCGCTATGGAGGGCGGCAAGCGGAGGACACGAAGCTGTTGTTAAACGGCTTCTCGATACCGGCAAGGTCGACCCGGACGCAAAGGACAATCTTGGACGGACACCGCTATGTTTAGCGGTAAGCGGAGGGCACGAAGCCGTTGTTAAACGGCTTCTTGACACCGGCAAGGTCGACCCGCACGTAAAGGACGATCTTGGACAGACACCGCTATACTTGGCAGTAAGCGGAGGGCACGAAGCCGTTGTCAAACGGCTTCTCGACACCGGCAAGGTTGACCCGCACGCAAAGGACGATCTTGGACAGACACCGCTATGTTTGGCGGCGAGTGGAGGATACGAAGCCGTTGTCAAACAGCTTCTCGACACCGGTAAGGTCGACCCGGACGCAAAAGACGATCTTGGACGGACACCGCTATGTTGGGCGGCGAGCCGAGGACATAAAGCCGCTTTCAAACGGCTTCTCGATACCGGCAAGGTTGACCCGGACGTAAAGGACGATCTTGGGCAGACACCGCTATGTTGGGCGGCAAGCGAAGGACACGAAGCCATTTTTAAACGGCTTCTCGATACCGAAAAGGTCGACCCGGACGTAAAGGATAATCTTGGACGGACACCGCTATATTGGGCGGCGAGCGGAGGATACGAAGCCGTTGTCAAACTGCTTCTCGACACCGGTAAGGTCGACCCGGACGCAAAGGATAATCTTGGACGGACACCGCTATGGAGGGCAGCAAGCGGAGGACATGAAGCCGTTGTCAAACGGCTTCTTGGTACCAGTAAGGTTAACCCGGATATAGAGGACAGATTTGGAAGGACGCCTTTGTTGGACTCTACACAGCATGGGCATCACAGCATCGCAAATCTGATCAAGAAAGAGCCAAGGAAGAAGAAGAAAAGTCTGGTTTACTAGACGCCTGTAACCCCTGCCGTGGAATACTGTAGCTAGGATGAACAAACTCAAATATCTCTGAAACCTTCCATAAACACCAGAGCCAAGGGAGCAATCTCAATAGTTCCGGACGGAGGCGACCGTAATTTGAGCAGGGGTTATCTACTATGCAGAAGCCGGATGATGATGAACGACGTGATGAACACTTCTCTGGGGCTTGAAAGCTCACAAGTGTTGTCAACTCATCCAAAGATGCCAATGACGCTAATCAAACCACCCGTGGCACTGACAAGGCTTACTCATGTTGGTCCTGGATCACTTGAGTTATCGAGCAACAAGCTACCTAGGTAGTATCGATATCATATCGAGCTCCATCGAATCCTAGTTCTAGTACCCACCCTACCCCATTCTCAATAATCACGTCACAACATAATGAGTCTTCAACGATCTTTCACACTATCCTCCTAATTCAAATAAGGAGTGGATCCACGAGTGTTTTCACAATACGGCTAATCATCACCAAGTTCGCTCAGACCCGAATAGGAATGAAGTATCCCTCATGGAGTACCTGCGGGTCCAGTTTCAAAACGACCTACTCAAACCGGCTATTCGTTCCACCTCATTTGGTGGACACAGGTGTCTCCATCTTGCTGTGGGGGTTGCTTTCGACAATACAACGACACTGAGTCACCCCCACCCCGGTCCTTTGTGCGTCCCAGACTCAGCTCACGTGTGCCAACCATGTGTGCAAGGTGACCTGGCATATCCCCACTGCAGCTAGGCGAGATCTCGCCATAGACCTCCTCCAGATATCAGCTTCACTCAATCCATCGTCCCACAAGCAGTGACAGTCTATCCGTCGAGCGATCGCTGACATCCCGCTCACTCGAGAAGTTCTTTGGAGAAGATATTTGAACAAGTGGTGCTGTTTGAGTTTGAATGCCTTCAGGAAGTCTTTTTTTTTTTTGAGATATCCACGACCTTGGTGCCTTGGTTGGCTGTTTTGCCGTGCCTCCCCTAACTATTTAGGTAGCTCTACATTTGGGTACAGAGCACCAACCCTTCTTTTCTCCCATCTATTTTCTCCTGTGCAGCCAGATCAGATTTTACTAAATCCAACGCAAGAATTTCCGAAATAGATAATACCGTTGAAAACTAGAGTTTTCGGCCCCTTATACAGCCGAGTGGCGTATTCTGAGATGTCTCTTTTTAGACATTTCATTATTATTGATGCTGTAGCTTGGAAGTAGGTGGGAAAAGTTTTGAATTGTAAAGACGACGTTTCTAGGTATACCCAGAGAAATAAGCCAATTACACAAATTGTAGTCCACTTGATATATATCCGTGAAAAGTCATCATGCAAAATGGGCCAATGTAAAACGCCAACGTTGCTTCACGCTAGCATATTGTCTTCAGCAAGACCAGTATTCCTTTCATCAGGAGAAGCAGTCGAGCCCGGGCCCGAGTCTGTCTGATTCTGGGGATTCTGCTTGGCTGTTCTCTGCTCAGCCTGTGCACGCATCCGATCCGTCATTTCATCCAATTTCCGACCAGACTCCGAAGCGTACTGACAGTGGCGGCGAATTGCTGGTCCATATTTATAGAAAATCCATGGGAATGGCAGACAAGCTACAGCGAGGAAAGCCGAGATTGAGGAGGCCCAATGAATTCCAAGGCTCTGATACGTTGGCGTTGTGAATAGTGGGCTATATACATGACATGTTAGTTTGCATCTAGGGCTGTGAATGGGAATAAAAAGGGTGAAGACATACAATGCAGCGCCGAAAAGGGCCCGGATGACAGCATTACCCGCTAACGCCGAGGCGGCGTAAATAGTATACCCATCGACCAGGTAGTTCACTACGCTTAAGAAGATGGATACGTGAGAGAACCCGAAAAGTACCGTCCCAATCTCGCAGACGATCCAGTGGATTTGTGGGAAGTTGGTCCAGGCGAACCAAAATAGTCCGACAGGAAGCGTAACTGCTCCGACCATCGCCGGAATGAGCCGAGCTTCGGGAGGTGGGCGACCGTAGGTTGAGTTATCGGCGAGCTTCTTATACCTGCCATCGTCGAGAATTGAATATGCGCATCCGAAAATTTGACCGATCATCATTCCAAGGAAGGACAGGCCGGAGGTGCTCTGGGGCCATTTGAGATTTTCTTCAAAGACAATCGGGAAGGCAGCGAACTCCATATACATTGTTCCGTAAACTATCGAGAATTGAATTAGTTCTTAATAAGAACGAAATGAGTAAAGGAGAGAACTTACTGATAGCCATGTAGATAGACAAAAGCAGCACGATCGGTTCCAAAAACAGCAAGATCCAGGGTCTGACCATAGTCTTGGTGAAGATCTGACCAGCAGTCCGATTCGCATTACCAACATCTAGGCGACTCTTGTAGACTGCTCCAGTCAGTTTACTGAGCTTGGCAGCGCGTTTCTGCAATAGGACTGGGGTGTAAGTCTCGGGGATAAAAACGACCCCAACCAGAAACACCACTCCATTGAAGATGGTTGTAAGTCCTTGAACCCACTCCCAGCCTTTCGACACGGCCAAAAAGTCGCAAGTAATTGGTCCAAGACTAGGACCTAAGAAGGGGGCTCCAATAAAGGCGATTGTAGCTAGCCCTCTATCCCGGGCTGTATACATATCTGAAACCACACCTCCAGCATTTGAAATTGCCGAAGAACCAAATGCACCCGCGAGGAATCGTAGTACTAACAATGTCGCAATATTCTGGCTTGCGATTGTTGCCCCGGCAAATAGTGTAGTCAACCCGTACGTGATGAAGTAGATGATCTGGCGACCCCAGAGCTCAGAAAGCGGAGCCCAGATAGCTGGTCCAATGGCGAAGGCGAGAACAAACAGTGAGGTGTCGGCAACAACTAGCTCAGTGCTGGTACCGAAGCGTTCCTGGATCTGGGGGTTGGCTGCTGAAAGAGCAGATGAAGCAAAAGTAATGGACAAAAAGGAAGCAGCTTGTAGAAGTGTAATTGACCATTTTAGCCAGTCTTGCATTTGGTGGGGATCGCGAGCATCTTCGTGAAGCCAGTCGACCAAGTAAGGATCTTCTGCTGTGCCATTTCCCTCCCATTCGTGGTTGAGAACGTCGTCGGTGATGATGTCTTGGGACAACACTAACTGGTATAAAGGCATCCGAAAGCGATCGCTGGTTTTCTCCATGGTCGATATGGTTTGGGGTTTTTTTCTTTACCTCGATGGCAGGATACTCGGGCAAATCACGTAAATGAGGATATTCTGAGGAAACAGATGAAACGAAGAGGTTGTTGGTCACGGGATAACGACGATTCCCTCTGGTGAGTGCAATGACTTGAAGCACAAATGAAAAGGCACAGGAAGCCCGCAGTTGCCGTCAAAATAAGTCCAGGGGAGAGTTATTTAAACATCACGCGGCAATAGCATTGAAAACAGAAAGGGAAATTGACACAAGCCATTAATAATGATTAGCGAATTCTCAGGGTGATTTGAAATCATATTGTGAGTGATTTCGGGGACATTTGGACTGGAATTTGACCAAATTCCCCTTAAAAAAGCGTGTTAGTGGGTTCTTTGAAGCTGTAATTTTGTATAAAAGACGATGCCATTATTTCCAGGCTATGCCAAGCTTTGTGGCCATGGAGAATGTGTAGACTTTCAGCCAATCATAAGCCAGATCTAGACCCACCGAGTCTCGTTCCCACTAGTACCCGCTTCCCGAGCCGCTCTGCTGGTCGGGGCAATGCTGGTCCGAGAAAAATGTTGTTTAACATTCCAACAGAAACTTCCAGGGGCTGCTAGTCTTCCGTCCGGGCGGAGGCTTGCAAATGGGCTCTCATATACTCGCTTGACAGGGTCCGGGTTTGAGTTGAGAGAGACTCGTAAAAATCTGAGGGAGACACGAGCCATTCTCCCAACTTAGCTAATCAGGAAGCAGGCTCAGCCAATCAGGAAGAAGAATTTCGTTTTTATTTCACCTCTTTAACGCTGTATTTTCTATTAGGGACCTGTTAGAATTAGGGAATTAGGGAATTTAGGGATTCTAGTATCTATTTAATGATGTTGGTTTATGTAAGCAGAATCTGGCAAGTCTCCCTAAGCTGACAGCCCGACAGGATCAAGCATCGAATTGTAAGTCCGGCCATAGTTGACGCAGCACTTTCTCCTCGGACTTTGCTACATTCATCCAGTAAGAAAGACAGGTGTCCTCCGGCCCCGGTCATGTTATGCTGCTTATGCAGAATCACATCAACGACCGAGTCAGGAAGCTCCTAATCGAAGTTGCTTCCCAACAGCTCCAAGGTACTGTGTGCTGTGTGCGACTTGCCCCGCGGTATCCTGGAACAAGATATCGAGGAGATGTTTACAAAAGTTGAATCCTGGGTCATAATGCATTCAATGCGACAGAGCCTCCCAAAGTTTTCATGTACGATTCTCTTCCGCTCGGCCAAAGACCATTATGTTAGAGCTAGAGCTCTGACATGCCCAAGACTAATATATATAGTAGCGCACATGGTTATCCGTGACACTACCTTAATAAGTAGTTAGGTAGATTTATCGAATACTTATGGGTCAAGTGGTCAAGTGAGGTTTAGCAGGCTTTAGGGAATGGCGTAACTATCACTTTTCTGACCGAGGTCAGAAAAGTAAGCTTTAGAAGGCTTTTATACCATGGCTTGACGCACTGTCGCTTTTCTGACCGCGGTCAGAAATTAGGCTTTAAGCTTTAGA